GAGGGGAGGGGGGAGGGCGAGAGAAATTATCGCTTTCAAGGTTACACCCCAATGACTCAGCTTTCTTCCACTAGGCTCCACCTCCTAAAGTTTCCACCATTACCCAACAGCACCACAGGCTGGAGACCAAACCTTCAACTCATGGACCTCTGGGTGAGAGCTGAGATCCAAACCACTAAAAGCTATAACAAAACATAGATATTATACACACACACATACATTCCACACCTAAGTGTGTATAAGATTTATACTACTATAGAAATATTCATGGTAGTCATATATTTGCATGCATGAATGTCTTTGCACATATTTGTGTAGCAAATTAATACCTTTATTATCTATCGGTATGCATCAAATAACAAACAAAAAACATCTAACCTATAACTCCTGTTTTTCCTGGTATATTTTCTTGCTCTAAACTACCCAGTTTTCCTGTTTCCTAGCATATAGTAAATTAGCCTTAATATTTTGTCTCCATTTGTTTTTCTTTCTCCCTGAGGAGGTTGAAATGAGCTGTGCAGTAGAGGGAAAAGGAGTAATAAAGAGCCTGGATAATCCATGCAATGGACAATCCCTTTCTTTGTAATTAATTTAATATCCAGTATTCACATAGCAATCAACAAACAAATGTAACTGATTTATAGTAGATTATCTGTTCCCTGAGAGCAGACCCCGCTCTTATGCATTTTTGAGTGGTACACAGACCCATGTGATACTCTATACACAGTAGACATTAAAACTAGTATTTAATTAAATTCCACAAGTGACATAACCAATCTTATTACTTCACAAGTAACTCAAGTACTTCAGTTCACACTACAGCCAACTAGGCCTTCCCATGCCCCTCCTTCAACTTCCCACACCCTCACTGTCAGCGAGAATTATATCTGAGAAGGTCCTACTCATTTATTACCCTGAGGCCCAGTGTCTCTGTGAGTCTTAACATAGACCAAGGGAGCAAACGTGCCTATGAATGGTCATTGACAGAGAAATTTTTGCATGCTCAATATAGCAGCAACTACAGGGAACTCATTGAAATCTATACTTGTTGTTACAGTGGCTAAATTTTGTTAAACTCCAGCAAAATTAGAGTTAATTTTATTTAGTACAAATAGGTTTAAAAATAGCCTCGTAAGTTAGCATAGTTCTGCAATTTTACCATCCCATAGTGATAATGAAAAAATTCTGCTCTTGAGTTTCTTTTCTGCTTTCATTCTGTTAAAACCCCCTCCTCCATTTAAAATTAGACTCTATACTGATAGTATAATTACTGTATAATAGAGTTTGCTCAACCACTCAACACAAAATGCTTTGCTTTCATAGCATTTTAATATGAGCTGCATAATGGCACCAGCTTGAGAATCAGCATGCCGAGAAGGAATCTAAGACCCCAAATGAGCTCAAGTTTGTAAAATTCAGTTCAGCTGTTCAGCAAACTAGTTAATTCTAACTGACTTGACATGTGGATATCAAAATTTTTCTGTTCCCAATCGTATGTCTCGGTTACAAAGAAAACCGTCTGGCTTCAGCCTAACCATGATGTCGACATCTGCCCCACCGGTCTTTTGGGGCCCGGCATGTGTCAGCCTCACCACTTCATATGCAGTGGGATCTTACCAGCTCCTCGTTCACGGCTCTGAACACTGATAATGGAAAGCCACATGCTCCCCGCGATGCATCAATTTTAAATTAAATTAGGCTTTTCTATTTCTCCCGCTAAATACTGCTTTTATAGATTTAACGGCTCTATGTTGCACACCATACTATAAACTATTTACTCCTTTGGGGAATAAAAGATTAACACAAGTAATACAGTGAAACACCTATTTATATCATTATAATTTTCCTTTTGCAATAATAAAGGCTTGTTTGACCTTTTAAATGTCCAGTACTGCCAGAGTTAACATAGCTCACACTGCATGTCTACTTTATTCATTCATCTCTCTAAAATACTTCGTAGCCCAGGTGTTTGCTGAGGAACTAGTCCCAAAAGGCAATGAGTTTGTTTTACAATCAGTGTTTTGTGCAGTTACTAGTGGTTGCAGTGGGTGATAGAGAAGGAGCCCAAAGGAGGGGTGGAATTTTTCACTCATTTCCCACATGAGTAATAAATTCAGTAGCCGCATCCGGTAATAAAACTAATAAATGACAATAAGGAGTAGTGGGATCTATGCCAAACTACGCAGAGTATAACTCACCTAGACCTTTTTGTTTTGTTTTATTTTATTGCTATCACTCTGGCCCAATGAGCCAGAGCTACTGGGTTAATGTAGCCCTCCCTATAGCACTGTACCAATAGGGCATACTCCAAGATACATCATAAACTTGTCTCCTTTTAAACTATTTTCCGAACTAAAGTCCAAAGGACACTAAACTTCTGAGAATAGGAAAACTTGATCTATAATTTGAGAATTTTGATGTCTGGAATAAGGAGATTTCATGTAACTATTATGCTTTAGATCTAAAATATCCACTTAATGGCTCTCCACTTAACAGGTTTCACTGCATTACCTGTGTTAATAATATTTTATACCCAAAGAAGTAAACGGTTTATAGTATGGTGTACAACACAGAACCATTAAAGAAGTCTCATGTATTCAGAGGTGGAACTTTTTTACTTACTTACTTACTTACTTACTTACTTATTTATTTATTTATTTATTTATTTATTTTGGAGACAGGCTCTCTCTCACTCTGTAGTTGAGACTGACCTGGAACTCACTATGTAGCCCAGGCTAGTCTCGAACTCACAGTGATCCTCCTGTCTCAGCCTTCCAAGTGCTGGGATTACAAGTGTGTGCCTCCACGCCTGACTCAGAGGTGGAAATTTTGAAAGGCCATTGAATCATGGCGATGTTGTACTCACTAATGGATTAGTCTTGATGAGTTCATGGCTGATTGTGCTGTTGGGAGGCGGGATCTGGTACAAAGAGGTGGGTCACTGGGGGTATGACCTGAAAAAGTATGTCCTTATCCCCGCTTGAAAAAGTATATTCTTGTCCCAGGTTCCTTCCTTCTCTCTGCTTCCTGGCTTCCATAAGGTAAGAAGCTTTCCTCTGCCACACCTTCTCCCCATACAACTTTTGCTTGGACCCAGCCTACCAGAGACTAAATCCCCCAAAACCATCAACCTAATAAAACTTTTCCTCCTTTAACTTGTGCGTATCCAATATTGTGTCTAGCAGCTGGGAAAGTTATTTAATACATTATCATGATGTTTTAAATATATTTTATTATTTGTGCTGACTTGAAATTAAAAGAAACTTCCTGGGTAATTTTAAATTTTCTATTTGAATACCACTTTTGCAACATTTTCTCTCGCCATTGCTTCTAAAGAAATAGAAAACATTTATCGTATTCACATCTATAAACATAAATGTGGAACCTCTAGTAATCTTCACCAAATATCCCCCTATACACAAATCCTTCTCAACCTTCTGTATCAGTAGGTAAGACCATGTAACTGGCTGTAGCCAATTAACTATGAAAGATGTCACTTTTAGGCAATGTCATTTTAGATGAAGAAATGAGAAGTCTTGGTATTTTTCTCATATCTTCCCCTGCAAACAGAGACAATAAAAATGAGCACATTGTTCACTGTTCAAAAAGTACAGGCATGAGGTGGTGAATTCCACATCAGCCTGATTTGGTGAGCGATTGTAAGCAAACTGACTTCCTCTTCCACTCTCTTAGTCCATGACATGCTGCTATTACAGAACACCTGAGACGTGGTAATTTAAACAGAAACTTATTGGCTCAGTGTGGAGGCTGGAAAGTCCCATATCGAGGTACTAAAAACTGGTGAGGGTTTTTTACTGTATCATTCCATGCCAGAAGTTGCCACATGGTTGCAGAGCTTAAAAAGGAGAGAGAAAGAGAGAGAGCAAGAGCGAGGATAATAACATTAATCCATTCATGAAGTCAGAGAGCTTGTGGCCTAAAATCACCTCCTTAAACATCCCACTCTTAATTTTGCTAATGGCAATCAATTTTATATTAAGTTTTGAAAGAGATAAACATTCAAACTACTTACAAAGTTGAGCAAGAAAGAAAGTCCATTATATTAACCACCAAAATTTGGATTTGCTTTGTTGTTTGTTTTCCGTGTGTGTGTGCATGCGCGCGTGTGCACGCCAATGTAACATATACCAGCCTAGCCCATGAAAGCAATGACCACACGTCTTTGCAGTGGCAGACTCCTTAACCAAATTTCACTCGGCCTTCTCCAAGCACTCTAGGGCTCAATCTTGGCAGCTCCCTATTAGAACTGCTTCTCCCAGCTTTAGCAAAAATCCTGCCAAATCAATTTACCATCAGTCCCCCATCCTCATCACCCTGCCTGCCTTCAAAACAAATTCTACCTCATTGTTTCCTGGAGGGGGCTATGCACAGACCCACACCCTGCCACTTGACTAAAAGTTCCCACTCATCCATGCTGTGATCTGAATTGAGCCCAGTTCTACACGGAGGTCTCTTTTCTCCTGTTGCAGTCGTCCCCTAATAAAATCTATTTGACCAGTTCACTGCCATGCTCTGACTTTAAACAGCAGCGCTTCTCTATACCATGTTCTTTCTTTGTCCATCTCTTCATTCCACCTGATTTCACCCATAGCTTCTAAGCTAGATCAGTATGTAACCACTATCACCCCAGCAATTTTGTAAAGGCAAATTTTTACGAATCTCTCTGCTCTCCCAAATTTGTTTCTCTAAATTAAATCAAATACAGAATCCCCAAATTAAATTTAAAGAAAAAATGTTTCTTGAATTTGACTTATGGGATAGACAACTACTAGTTTTTCTCCTCAACATTCTACATTATAAGCCAGGTGTGGTGGCGCACGCCTGTAATCCCAGCACTCAGGAGGCTGAGGCAGGAGGATCACTGTGAGTTCAAGACTGGCCAGGGCTACACAGTGAGTTCCAGGTCAGTCTCAACTACACAGTGAGACCCTATCTCAAAAAAAATAAAAAAAAAATAAAAAAAAATTCTACATTATAGTTCTGAATTGTCAATCTTAATACACTATTGCACCTGCACAATAATGATTAATTATTACTTTATTAGGAGCACACATATGTTCATCATTGACACACTAACTACTAAACATGGAGGTTTGATTGATTCAAGAGATGAAGGCATAGTTTTGTTTACAAAATGCAATCTTCCATGGAGGTAGTTGCTGTGTGCCGAGGACACTCTATAGGTGATTGCTGTCACTGGTGATGAGGGAACCTTCTATTCATAACTCTAACTCCTATGTGTTCATGGGGGGGCTGGCGATGCAGAAAGAATTCTGCTGAAAGGACCCTAGTATCAGAGAAATGTAAAACAATATGACAGCAGAAAATGGGCCAAAAGTCAGCAACAAGTCAAGGATCTGAGTGATTTTTCAAACTGTAAAAATATATTTTATTTAAATATATGTTTGTTAATTATATTATTTATCTTTATATAAATGTAGAATATATATATATACATATATATATACATACATATATATATTATTGTTGACCAAATAGTGCATTTAAATGTAGATTCAAAAACAGCAAGCCTGCTCCTTCTCTGTCAGCAAAAATGCTAAATAGGGGCTAAATTGTCTTCCTGGGGGGTGGGGAGCATAGTCAACTGAAAACACACCTGAAATTGGAGCCAACAGTCAATATAGATCAAGCTAAGCAAACAGACAATTCCACTGACCAACTCAAAATCAAGTTATATTTTTTAAAAGGTATAAAAGTGCAAAAATACTTGATGAGACCCGGAAAAGGCAGGGAGCAATTTCACAGACAACAGCACAATTCTCAGGGCGCTCTGAGTGGGCCTGCAGGCAGAGCAGTCCCGCCCCGCTTCCCAACCCCCATCGGGGCTCTGTGCTAGAGAGCGCGGAGCAGAGTAACTGTCGGGGCTGCGGAGGACTCGCGGGCTAGGGAGGAGGGGCGGTTCCCACTCTCTTGGCCCAGGTTAAAATGGAGGCTATTACTTGCTGAGAGCAGATTTGCTCTCTTTTTTAACCACTAGCTGAGTTTCTCTCAATTGTTCTCCACATTGCGTCACTAACCAGCCCCAGGGTGTGGGATTCTGGCAGCAGCAGCTCTTATCTTTGATTCTCCTACTCCCACCAGCTCCCCTCGGTTTCTCTCTCTCCAGTGACTTTCTTTGGTAATGGAGGAAAAAAGGCTTTGAAATCCCTTTAGCTGTCTGAATGCTGTTTACAAGTGATTATTTATGAAGGAGCGGAGTGTTTGCAAAAAGCAGCTGGTTATGTGAGATCTAAAATATTATTAAATGTATTTGCAGCTATACAAGACGCATTTGTGTAAGAGACATGGAATTTTGCAGGACATTAGGGATGCATTTTATGTACCTTCATCATATGCTTATTGAGAATGATAAATTGTACTGCGCACAAGGACATGACAGTGGTGTTTCTTCAAAACTTATCTTTTCCAGATTACCACTATATATGAAAACTTCTAGTTTTTTATTGAAATGAACTTTGCCATATTTAAGGGAACAAAATAACATTTTTCACTTTTAAAGGCAGCACTGTATGAAATAATTCATTTTCCAGCTTCCTTCCTCAGTAACTGTGACTCATTTGATGCAGGTGAGCTTTTGGTACATTTAGGGGAGACTGTATCTTACACATCTGCAAATGCAGTGATCTCTTAGATCTCAGTGTCTTTGTCTGTAGAGAGAGAGAGGACTGAATTCCAAGTGCCCAGCTCTGACAGCATATTGCTGACCAAAAAATATACCAAAAAGACAAAACAAAGTGATTCAGTAAAGTTTTAAAAAAACAACTGCTGAGTTTGGATTAGACAAAAAAGCAACTCAGACCACCCAAAAAATTCATTTTGCGAACATTAATTTCTTAAATGATTAAAGAACAATTAGATCTGCCTTTCTTCCTTGAAGTAAATTGGAAGTTCCTTGAGGCTAGGACCAATGTTTTAAATGAAAAATGAAATTTCCCAAAAGAAAATCAAGACACATCTCTCATTCTGCTGGATGAATGGCCATCCTAACGACAGATGATATTAGAGCCATCAAAAGAACCCAGGTCTTAGCTGGGGATTTAGCTCAGTGGTTCTGGCGGCTGTTTCACAAGTGCAAGGACCCTAAATTCAATCCCCAGTAGCAAAAGAAAAAAAGAACCCAGGTCTTGGAACTTCCTGCCCACTGCTTTTTTTTTCTTTCCCTTACAATTTTCTGCCATTGAGATTCAATGTAAAAGGATTCAAGGGAGAGACAATAAATGCTATTTGGGAAGAAGAGATCTGAGAGCACTGCAATAGACATGCGATGCGAGGATTCTAAAACCTTGGCACTGGCTCTTTTTTGCCAGCAATATTTCTTAAAGCAGATACCCCTCCCTCGGATCCTTTATAGAGTACAGAGGGCTGCACACTTCCTGAGAGAACCCTGTTGGCTGGCCAGCCTCCCTAATGTTTGTACTGAAACTTTACTGGCAGAGCCTGGTGCCTGGCGGTGCCCAGGTGAGCACTGATCGGGAGCCCACTGGGCTGGCTCAGGGCTGAAAGGCAGTTCTGGAGGTGGAGAGCAGCACTCTCAGGAGGTTGTAGGCACAATCTCAGTTTGCAATCCTGTTCTGTCCAAACCAAAGGGAAACAGTGCTCTGGCTTGGATGCTTTTCCAAATGATTTTGACCAAGCAGGATATATAAAAAGAATCTGACTTGACACATGCAAAGAGAGAAAAATATTTTTCTATTTTCCCTTTATTTTTAGCCGGGATGTGGTCTCCTAATTATTTTAAGAAAATTGCTACCATAGCTTTTCTGTTTCTGTCATGAGAGTCTCAGATGGGCTGGGAGAAGCATGGGGTTTTCATCTCCAGTCCCCACCATTCTGGTGCTTGATTTCAGTGTTTCACTGCATCTCTCTGTAATGTCATTTTTAATTCCTGTCCTTGCCTACCTCAAACAGACGCTGCGAGGACAAATAAGATAGCTAGCTCAGTGTTTCCTCTTTCCCTACCCATCTGGTTTCCCGATTTGCAAGGACCACATAGGGTTCTGGACTAGAAAACAATAGGACAGTGCCAGAAATGAAAGGGGGCAGAATGGAGCCAGGCGGAAGCCCCACAGGACACGAGAGGCAGAGATCCAGGCCAGAGCTGGAAGGCTAGACCAGCCACAATTTCACATACTAATGTTATGCCCAGTTCCCATAAATACACATTTAAGTGGTTATGGGAGCATCTTTGAGTCATTCAGGACATCGCTGAGTCATTCAGTCATTGGTTATATTATCACTGTTTGAAATCTGAAGTATGAAATGATAGGGACTACACAGCTGGGATTTTCTTCCTTTTATGAGGAAGTATTCTTGACTTGTGTGGGCCAGGCCTTGAGGCCCTCTTTTGTCATTGAAATCCTGAAAGTGAGTTAACTAACTGTTTTAACTAATTTGGATCCAATTAAAGCACTTTTTGCAGCACCTCCCGGCTTTAAAACATCCAATAGACCTTAAACCACCAGACAACAGAAATGAAGTCCTCCAAAAGGCCAAGAACAATGCAGAGCCCTCCTCCCTCCTCCCATCAGCTCCTTCTCTCCCTCTCTGTGGTTGAACTAATCCTCTCACAAGTTCCCCAAAGTTCTTCTACCATGGACATACACAGAGAAACAAGAGAAGGAGCAGGACCCTGAGCAATTCTGCTCTTTGTCAGTGTTAATTGTGAGGCAGTTATCTGATCTGCTGTGACTTGCTCTTTCTGGAAAGGCTTGCATAATTTGGAAATAGAATTCCAAGATTCTCCTCTATTGTAAATTGTGCTTCTGCCAATTGCTTTTGTCAGGACTCCCCATTTCACCTCCTGTCTCTCCTCTCCACTTCTGCAAAAGCGCTGATGTGTGAAAACGAATTACACAGATTAAAAAGCAGCTTTTTCATACATGGGAATACAAATGACAAATGGAGGCATGGTACCTCCTCACACGGAACTCTATGAAAAAGAATCACTTGAGTCAAGACGCCGTCCTGACGCTACGAGGCAAACAAACCCACAAATGCTGTGAGACTCGAGTGAAGCCACATGGAGAATCTAGAGCAATGTTCGACTTTGTGACAGCCCACAATGATAATCTCATTATTAGGCTTTCAACAAAGCAATACTATAACGACATCACCCAGTCTTATAATTAAAGTTGTTCTTTATATAAAGCTATTCTGCTTCCTAGAGAAATGTTTATGATGTTAAATAACTCGTGTCTCAAAGACATCCCCCAGTTCACAAATGTGGAAAGAAAAACACTCCAAAGGAGAAAGCATGCAGATATGTGTTCTCTGCAACATGTGAGGTCCTGGGTGCTATTTTCACTCACCTGTCAGGCTGGGGCCAAATGAAAAGCAACCACCACTGCGGTGTGGACTGTGAGTGTACCGAAGCATCCTTAGGGTACATCATGGGGTGCAGTCGGAGGCCCTGTAAGTTGGAAAGAAGTGATGTGGCTGGTTTCCGGGATGACCACACTGTGCCACTCTATTGATCCCCTCTCACAATCAGCCCTCAGGTTTGGGGACCTCAAGAAATGGAAAATGCACTGTGTGCACTAAATTAGGGGCTTTGAATACCTTACTAAGGAGAAGAAACTTCGGTTTTCCTGTTTATTTGCTTAGTGTTGTTTGTTCTGAGTAGAGGAAGGGCAAGGGTAGCAAAGGAAGACAGGAAGCACATTCTGCTACCCAAGCAGAAAGTCTCCCTCAGCACCACTTAAAAACTCTGTTTCTTGGTTCCAGATGAAGTTATCAAGGTTGCATAACCCATGTTTCCTCATCTCTGCATGGAATAATTCTACAGTCTGTTCCCAGGTTTGTTGTGAAGGATAAATGGGATAATCTGTGAAAATCCTGGGCCTTTCTACCTAGAGAATATGGGCTCATTAAAGAGTAGTTATTGGCAAGGTGATTACTAGGAGTGTTTTTATTTTAAATAGGCTTGGGTGAGTAGAAATGAAACCATTTGTCTTCTAAGTAGTAAGAGCTTCCCTCTTAGGGGCTTGGGGTATAGCTTGGTGGTGCGGCATTTACCTAGAATCTAGCATATACAGGGCTCTGGGTTTGATCAAAAACACTGCCAAAACAAAGAATGTTTCCACCTCCTATAACAGAGCAGAGTAGTTGAAGCAAATCTAACAACAAGGAAACAACTGTTTTATAAAGCAGCACAGTGCTCACAGTAACATTGACTATGGATCCTTTACCCTAGTTTACCTTTCTAGACTTTTCACAGAACGTTCACCTCTATTTTCAGTGTTTCTTGTTTTGCGTGGGACAGTTACCATCATAGGACACTGTCATCTGCACAGTGCCCAATGTTTAGCTTCCCTGGCCCCTCCCACTTAGTGGATCCGAAAGGTCCTTAAACCTAGTCGAATAGTAATGCAAACCAATTAGCAGACCAAATGATACTGCACCCATGTCCACTGGCTGCATGGGAAATACAAGTGCCCAAATTGAGACATTTTGGTAGAGAAAGTATCACTGTGACTATTTGGTAACCAGACCAAGTGAGCATAGAGTGACTGGCCAAGTTAATCAGAAAGCACAGACATAAAAACAAATAGAACATAGATGATTTATATAAGCAGCTAACAACAGTTACCAAGTGGGGTAGGCAAAGGGAAGGCACTTAGGAGGCTTTTTACAACTACCCGGGAAGCATCACAGACATTCTTCACCCCAGTAACAGAAAGTTCCTGTGAATGATGAGGCTGTGCTTTTCCTCAGGGTCTGAGAGCAGAAACACTGGTGACGGTGACGAGTGCTGAGAATAATTCTCCAGCTTTGGGGATTGGTTTTCCGCGCCCCAGCTGTCCTACTGAGAAGTGACAGGAAGAAGGCAAAAGGCGGGAAGGATCACAGTTCTGAAACACCTGAGTACACGGATGGCCAGTCCTTTCAATGACCCTCACTAACATTGACCTCGGGATTTTAACACTGTCCACTCCTCTGCTGGCTACACATCACAAGATGACATATGGTTAATTTTAAGTGATATCTGCATCTCATGTCTTCTGTCGTGGGGTGTTGTAGAATTCAGAGGTCGCTGTCTCTGTTGGAAAGCATTCCCCTCTGCTTTATTGAAATCAGTGAGAAAGGACACTGCTACAGAATGAACTTTATTGTACAGCCCGCTGTTTGAACAAGGAGAGACACCTGGGTTGGTTGTCCACCTTCAGCTCTGTGCGAAGAGAAGCGAGGCTGTGCGGCAAGGACCGCCAGTTCTGTCCAGTGTTTTCTTTTGAGCCTCTGAATGCATTTTTTAGCTTGAAAAGAAACTGTGAATTCTGCTGTGCAACAAGCTCAGACTTTGTTTTGTGGAAATCTTCAGAGACAGAGCCAAGTCTGACCTGAAGAGCACCAAGTCTTGACTCTTTGTTGTGTGCTTTGGACCCTACATATAAAGGAACACTGAGTCCTCTCTAAAAGACAAAGAAGAATCTAAATTCCTTTGTGTCCCAGAAAGGGTTCTACTTCCTTGTAGGTTAGGCTAACTTTCTATCCCCTATACACACACTTCTTGCCCTTTTCATCGCTTAGGGGAAAAATGTCAAAAGTACCCAAAAATGCAGATGTAATGCATAATATCATAGAAAATACTTAGAATGATTTCAGCATGTCTGCCTACACACACACGCACGCATGCACACACACACACACACACACACACACACCATAGGCATACAGGCCACAGAACAGGGAAGGAAGGGAATGTGGTAATAATGTCTCCATTTAATTGTAAAAGCAAACAAATGTTTTAATGTCATTTGCCTGATTTTCAAGTCACGAGTCACTGTTGGAATGCCAGCCACTACGCACCAGCTACTGGGTGAGGTGATGAGGAGGAGAGAGGAACTGTACCAAGGACATCAAAGGCAGTCACAACAGTCCCTGGATTACACCAGTCCCTGGAATATGCAAGTCACTACGTCTCTGCGGTGTGAAATGGCAGAGGACATCTCTCATACTTCTCCGGGCTTCCAGGAGCCTGTTGACGAAGCTGAAGAATGAAAAACACAGTAGAAGAAACTTGCAAGCAAAGAAAGAACACCACACAGACAACAAGTAATAGGAGGTCGGGGGAGGAAAGTGTTCCTAACAGTCCTTTAGGAAGCTATCTGACCTTCAGCAGCACTTTAGGAGCTCCTAGTATCTCATGATAAAGAGACCAAACAACTGCTTTTTGTTTTTGTGGTACTGGGTATTGAAGCCAGGGTCTTCACACTAAGCTATGTCCTCATCCCTTTTTTAAAAAAATTTTTTTTGAGACAGTCTTATTTGGTCACCAAGTTGCCCAGGTTGGGCTGGGTCTTGCAATTCTCCTGCCTCAGCCTTCTACCGGGCTGAAATTATACACATATGCCACCATACCCGAATGACTTTTTAAGGAAATGTACACCACTGTTTTATATGAAATCCTATTTTAGAGACATTAATTCACTTATGCAACAGTCACGGGGGACCTGCCATGCTAGGCACTGCAGGAACACAGATAAATCTGGTAGAGACCTTGCACTAAAGATAGTGATTGTGCAGACTATGTATTCTTCTCACTCTTCACTCTCTCCTTATACCATGCGCTTTACCTCGAGACCTATTAGTAACATGGCATCAGAGTACGTGAAGTAGATTTCTCCACATCTTTCATTTTGGGTTTGGCCTTGTGACTTGCTTAAACCAAAGGTTATGTTGGTGCATTTGGCATGAGCCAAGGCTTTAAGTATATTGCACCATTTATTTTGGCCTCTTGTGCTTACTATTTCTATAGGAAAAATTTGTCCTAGAAAACAATGAGAAAATAAGAAGCATTTGAAGGAGGCCTATGTTTAATTCTCAAACTAGAATCCAGCTGATCCCAGCTTTGAGCAACCAAACCACAACAGACCTAAGGGGTGGGGGGTGGAATATAGAAATGTCTGTGGTTGGAAACCACTAAGTTTTGGGGATTGTTTTGCACTTATTATAACAACAGCTTAATACACTGACCCATGGCATGACTCGCCTTTTCAAACAATGCAGTGTGCAAAATTTTTATTAGTGCCTTCTAGGATGACAATATCTCTAGTTTTCCCAGGACTGCTTCTATTCTAAAACTGAAAGTCTGACATCCCAGAAAATCTGGGACATCTATCATACTAGTGCCTTGCCACTTCTAATTTTTGGAATAATTTTTGCCTTGAGTGTAGCTCTGTTCTGGGTACCCAAGGCCCTGAGGCTGTCTCTGAATGCTCCTGCTGGGCAGATACACCACGCACACACATATACCATCTCTGCTCTACTATTTCTACCCACTATGAGCAGTTTCCTGATGCCAGACCCACCTCCCTTCAAAACCACCTATGTCCTGTAGTTACTAATGGTGATAACACTTACGGCAATGCTTTAATTCCAGATAGAAATGGTCCTACCACCGTCAACCCATCTCCATTAGAGACATCTGTAATCAATTATGATTCTTTCCCATTATCATGTGGATCCAAAATTCTGCTCAACATAATGCTTTTGAAACCCGCTTCAAACGTCCAGAGTTGCACTATAAAATGCATCCCATATGCCCAACACACTTTAGGGGAGAGAAAACCTGATTCTACAGTGGTAATTTAACCTGAGTCTGCTTTTGAGATGCTGGTGGAAACATAAAATTGAAGGATCCAATTCAGAGACGTACAAAAATGTTCCTGGCCTTTATGTTCTCATTTGAAAAAAAAAATCATTTATTCCATGACCCCTAGGCTAAGATGTTTCTCTCTGAAATGCTATGACTTTAAACTAATTTCTCCTATGCCTTCCAGATGCAGTGGACTGCGTTTCTATGAACCTCTACCCAAGGGTTTCCTTTAAAAAAGAAAGATCAAAAATAGCTGTGCTTAGAGGATCAAATGAGATCACGGATTTAAAAATATTTTGTTAGTTGCAATGCGTTCTAGAAAAGAGAAGGGAAATGATTTTATGGTTATTATTTATTGTCATTAGGTCTGCTTCTATCCTCTTCCTATTGCAGACATGCAGCAACTTACTGTCAGTTGAGCCAGAGTGGGGAGAACTCAGGAGGATGCTGTTCTCTCCCCCCACTGAATAAAGGGGGGGAATTTCTCTTCCCCCATTGAATGAAGAGGGAAAATTTGGCAAATCCAATCACCACAGTAGGGCATGGGTATCAGAAAATAAGTTTGGATGAAAGAACACTATTGGAGCCTGGCAGCTACTTTAAACACTTCAATCTTCCTTTTACGGCTCCTCAAAATTGCAGAACTATACCTCACTTTCAATTAAGGTTTTCCTGAACCAAAAGGGCAATCAATTACATGATCAAGAAGCTTCACCTTAATTTACCTAAAGGTTTTAACCTGTTACCTGTTACAGAACTCATCTTATACAAATAGCAGCATCCATCAAGAGTTACAATGTTGTTATTTGTCCTAT